CAGAGCTGCTCCTTTTGAAAGGGTGGGGGGATAGTGGGGACTGAGATCCAACCCCTGTGAGATCTCAGCAGAACAGTTCAAAACACTCCCCGTCCCCAAACCCCCCCTCACACCTTTACAAGTAAGTGGCTCCAGAGGCGTTGCCACATTCACATCTGGATGGCAGCCCCCCTGGGACTGGAATCAGAGCTGCCAGGTTAGGGGCTGTGCTCACCTGTCCACTTTATCTTTATTTGTTGTGCATATGCTCTTAGAATAAGGTTTCACCCAAGCTAAGGATTTCTTGGCTAAAACAGCAAATTGGGAAACCACTGCAAATATCCTAAAGATAAAACAATTTTTTTAATGCAGAATAGAAAATACAGGAATAAAGGTTTAAGTAATTTGCTGCATTTAAAAAAAAAACTGACTTCAAAGTTAAACTCAGCAATGTATGTATCAGAGATTCTGTTATCACCAAGAAACAAGTTAAAATATGGCTCTAACCTAGAAGGAGGAAAAATTTAAATTCTGAAGCACATAGGGAAGATCTCAAATCTTGCCAGACTTCCCCCCTGGTCTTCTGAGACACAGGAGGTGTGAATATAAGTCATGTGCAGGTTAGGTATTTAAATAGAGCATCTCAAAGTATGTTATTTGGGAAAAGTTTATGGTCCAAAATGCTTGGAAAAATTAAACGGTCTCTACTTTGCAATACTTAGAAGGGGACCAAAGTTTTTTGGAGGGATAGTGATTTTTAAAGTGGTATTTAAGAAAAGCCCCCAGCCGGGTAGCTCAGTTGGTTAGAGCATTGTCCCAATATGCTAAGGTTGCTGGTTTAATCCCTGGTCAGGGCACATACAAGAATTAACAAATGAATGCATAAAATAAGTGGAACAATAGATAATCTCCCCCCCCCTCTCTAAAATCAGTCAATATTTCTTTTTAAGTGACATAAAAATGAGGAAGTTGCCAGGTAATTACCTGGACCGGCTGTTATCAGGAAGTTATGTCAACCAGACTTCCCATGGAGACCAAACAGTCCAACCTGCCACCCTACAGATGAGAAAACAGAGGCCCAGGGAGATCGGGTGACTTTCTGCGGTTGCAGACACCTGGCTCAGCCTCCTTCGCTCTCTTCTCTCTGAAGCTCCATCGGGCAAATGTTCCTGGAGGCAAAATGGGAGTTAACTCCAAAGCAGGCCAACGGCTTGGCTCGTGGAAGGGGTGCCTGCCCCTCTGGGTCTCGCCTCTGGTGCCACATGTCTGTCTGGGGAACAGCCACGTGAAGTCACACTGTGTGTGCTGTAGATATGTAAGAACTCTGACTTCTCTTGGCCTTTGCTCTTCTCTCCACCCCCTTGGCTGAGAGGCAAGGAATTTATTTCAAAATCAATTGGCCTAGATATGTTTGTTTCCTCTTCTTTTTT